CGAACACAAAGCTCGAATATCCTTTGCACCTTTGGAAATAATCTAGTTTGTAAGCATTTTACAGTGCAGGATTCAAAATTGCATGGAGTCAACTCCTGTCCCCGCCCATGGCGGAGTCGGCTTCGCGGCTTTCAACGCCTCGAAGACGGTGTCTTAGAAAATCTCAGAGCTTGCGCATGGCAAGTCCTCCTCTCGGGTGAACATCAGTATTTTTGTAGCGAAAAAACGAGTATACGGCCTTCGGTCCGTTTGTCGTTTCTGAGCCGCAACGCGAAAGGACGTCACAGGAGTCTCGCTCGAGTTGCTCTGTGTTGGGAAGGGGGGGGGGGGTAGGGGGTAGGTGTGAACCGGCGGGCTCAGGCTCAGCCAACAACACCTTGAGCAAGAGGGTGCGGCGGGCCTACCGACCCCCTGCCGGCGCGGCCCCGGGCCCCATGGCCCCATCCCAGTGCCCAGTCACATTGAATTATTTTCCCCCAGTTTCGAGCGTGCCAAGTAGGGGGTAATTTGCGGCCCAGGGGCCGAAGGTACACGGGGAGAAACATCGCTTCTTTGCCCTTTGTCTGATCGCGGCGCAGCTGCGAGTTTCGCATGTGGTAGTTTGGTTCTATATCTAGGTGACGGATTTATTCTCACACGAATCATCTTAAATTACGAAATGTTCCAGTTTCCCCTACATTTTTTTACCTGATTGTATTTATCATTTACTGGTCATAATTAATCATTTTCTGACCAGAATTTTGTTACGAGCGCTGGGAGCGCGGGACGACCCGAGACGTTAACATCGTTGCCATTGAAAAAAAAAAAAGAGAGAGAGAGAAAGAAGAATTACTTGTCAGAACTAAGAACTTAGCTGGGTATAGACAATGCGAATTTCACCGTAGCCAATTGGTTGCTAGAGACGAGACGAGCTCACACTAAATGGAAAAGGACAATTTTGTTTCTAGGAGAGATGCGTTCTTAAGCACATCTCTAGCGGATGCAAATTTGCACGTAAATTAGATACAAAGAAAGTCATTTGTACCTAGTCTCAGTACAAGTTGTAACATTTTAGATACAAATTTGCATCCGCTAGAGATGTGCTTAAGAACGCATCTCTCCTAGAAACAAAATTGTCATTTCAACATTTAGAGTGTGCTGCTGGAACCAACCGGTCTGCTCTGACTGCGAAGAAACACCCAATAAGTTGTCAGAACGAAACGCGGTTGGTGCCAGAGGTGAGCATCGGGCGGTCCGCAGTCCCGGTAAGGTGGCAAGCGAGTCCCGGTAAGAACCGACAAGGTTCCGAAAACGACAGGTGCGAGTGAGACGCTCGCTCCGGCCATAGCTCCGTCTCACTCGCCTGTCGCTTTCGGAACCTTGCCGGTTCTTACCGGGACTCGCTTGCCACCTTACCGGGACTGCGGACCGCCCGATGCTCACCTCTGGTTGGTGCCTGCAGCTACAGATTCGCTGCCGCAACGAACACTTGTCTCTGGCAACCAGTTATTAGATGCCGCAACAAATTTCTTGTCTATGTGACAAAATCATCTAATTAATTACGCCCACGACTATTTTTTTCCGTGGTGCATATGCATAGGCCGGCGCGAACCTGAAATGCGGAGGTCAGCGGAATGTTGAAAAGCTTGGACGGCGGAGCCGTGTGAGCTGGAAAGAGTTGCGAGTCCGTCGTCCTGCGAGGTGGCAACGCCTCCTGCACCACCAGTAATAGAGTGTTGGTTTGACCCTCTGTAAACCAGAACCCACCCTTTAGAGAGTCCAAAAGTGCCCACATCTAGGACTCTAGCCAGCATCACCATTCAATTGTTAAACTGAATCTCACCGCATGTGAAGCAAGAAATATAGTCCACTCACTGGATCAGAATTTCCTGTCTATTTCTATTGTGCCCCCACTTCAGAACGTTCTCTTGCCCGGCTACTTGGGCGCTCTGGGTGGGCTGCGGTCTTCACGCAGCCGCTTGGCGGGTTGGCCTACACAGCGCCCAGTAGGCGCTATCCTCGGTGCCTCGTGAAACGCTCATTGTGAGGCCAGCTTTATCCTGATCAGAACGTTTCCTGGTCAGAATTTAACAGTTTCTGCCTATGGGGTATCAGAAAGGATACCTTGCCACACACATTTGTGACTTACTACTTGCCTCCCCCGCGCTCCGACAGCATTCCCCTTGGCTCTCGCTGATGGCATGCCACGCTTCAGTGGAGAATATATAGGCTAGCGGCCTCCCATCCCGTACTGCCCGGGTCCGCCGTCTCTGCTTGCTTATCTCAATAGAACGTAGTGTTCTGTGTGCAACAAGAAAGAAATGTTCACTACTCTCCATACAGGCAGTGACTCAATTGACCCTTTTACCCAATTTTCCGAGAAAAAAAACATTAGCCCAACATTTAAAGGGTGCAATTAGAGCCAGTCCGACGCATCCTACGAACAAAGTTCGATCTCCCGGTGCGCCGTTCAACACTGTTCGATCTCCGGGCGCGCCGTTCAACACTGTTCGATCTCCTTTGCGTGGTTTGCAGCGAGGTGGAAGTTCAAACGCCTCTTACGTCTGTTCGTCAAGATCATTGGCCCAATGTGTTGTGTAATCTTTTAGGATCACATATAATTTATTGGAGAATCGTTTCTTTCAATCAACAAAGGCTGCTTTAAAACAAAGAAATTCTTAAATCAATATAGATTCAAAGAAATGTTTTTGAATCAAAGCAGCCTGTTTTGATCCATGGTGGGCCTTCTTTGGTTTAAAGATATTTTTCAATTTAAAGAAACAATCTTCTTTATTTCAAAGAAATACATTTTTATTCCATGAAAAACAGCTAAATTGAATTTTCTTGGATTTGAGGAGATCGCTGCTTCAAATCTATATCTAAGAAACGATTCTTTGGCTTGAAATATAATTTTATTCTTTTCTTTGATTCAAAGAAATAAATTTGAATCAAGGAAACCCTTTCTCTAAATTAAAGATGACTGCTTTGATTCAAAGCAGTTTCTTTAAATTAAAGAAATGCCACAAATTAAAAACTGATTTCAAATCAACGAAACGATTCTCTGGGTGTAGTTTCCCTTGAAGAGAATTACCAACGAAGATATCACGGTTTGAAGCCGAAGGTGCAAATGAAAGCTGAAAAGGAGATCGGACAGTGTTGAACGGCACGCCCGCCCGGAGATCGAACTTTGTTCGTAGGATGCGTCGTAGTGCAGAACCTACATTTTGCCTAGCATGGGTGTACGGGAGCAACATAGCTGTAGATGCAACCAAACCAACACGGCCACAAATCTGCTTTCCGAACAGACTCGGCAGCTCCAGCACCGTCCAGAGCTCTAGACCCGACGTCCACTCCCCCCGCCGCCGCCGCACCGGACCGGCGCGCTGCCGGGTCCCTAACCCCCCGCGGCGCTACAGGGATAGCCCGTAGATGAGGGAAGGGGCGAGGGGGCGGCTAGTGACGCATAGAAAAGTGCTAAATTTAATAGGAGCCCCACGGGCCGGCCGGGCTGGGCGATACCCCCCGAGCCTGGCCCCCCGTGGGGCTGCGCCTGCTGCGCCTGCTGCGCCCGGCCCTCAGAGGGCGCGGGGCACGCGGCCGGGCCGGCGCTCCCGCTACCCCGCGCCGCTGCCGCCGCTGCCAGCCGCGACGGTACCCCGCGCCCTCGACGGGGAAGGACCACCCCGAGGTAATGGACACGTCCGCCCTGAACAGCTGCGCGCCCGGTGTTTGTTTGTCCCGTTACGGTGCACAACGGGGCCGCGAGTGGCACACAGTGTGTGGCACACACGGGGAGAGGGCAGGGCACGCCCGCCACCCCCGCCACGCCAACGTGTTCGGCGAGCGGAGTCACGAGTCACGCTCTTCGCAGTGCATACAGGGGAAGCTAAAAGAGGTGACGACACCAGTGCCCGCGATGGCCTCTTGTCCTGGGGTCCGCGCCCATGTGCGAGCCCTCCTCGGCCCGGTCCCCGGCCCCTCCAGTGCGACCGCTATGGCAGCGCCGACCAAAAGGTCTCCTCTCCTCCGTCCCCGCCGATAGTCGCTTCGACGCGCAGCTCCGGTCGGCAACAGGCCGATCGAAGCCCCAGAAGGCGTGGAGTAGCATGGCGGGGCGGGGCGGGGCGGAGCGTGGCGGGACGTGGCGGTGGCAAGCGAGGCCGGGGCGACAAGCAGGCGCGGCGGCCACAGCCGGGGTCGTCGCCGAGCCACTCGAGGCCGTCCGAGCCGAGCGGCACACAATGAACGAACGGCCGGGAATCAATCGATTCGGTCACCGAAAAGCAAGAGGCGGTGGAGGGGGAGAGGCAAGAATGTAACGGTGCAGGAACACTTAACACATAGAAAGACGGTGTGAGACAACGAGACCCTGACCCTGCCCACCTGCAGAATCGGAGGACGCTGGGAGGACGACATGACATAAACCTCTGTCGCGGTTGCTCTCTGCCCCGCCCCGCCCCGCCACCACGCCGCCACCCAACGCAGCGCCCTCGCCTCGCGCCGCCAGGTGAGGCGGGCAGGTCCTTCAGGCTGGCCGGGCGCCCCGCGGTCCTCGCGGGCGGAGCCGGCGGACGGGGGTGGCACTGCTACGCTCGGCGCCTCCTCCGCGCCCCGCCCTGCCCCCGCGGTTTATTTTAGTCAAATGATGTTGCCGCCGGGCGCTTTGCCGTACCGCTACAAGGAGGTACCGCGGAGGGTGGCTGAGGGAGGGGTTACGTCGATGACGGACTGCCCCCCGTCTGACGTTTCCCTCTCAATCCGAACGAATAAAAGTCGCAAGTCGCCGCCGACAAGAGATGCGTCGTGCGGTGCGACGTGCGGTGTGACCTCCCCCGCTTCGTCAATCTCAGTGACATAGACATACGTCATCGTCATGGAGGCGCCCTTCTCCGGCAACAGGTTGCTTCCGCCGCGGCTCCGCGGGGGGCGCGCTGTCCTCGCCCCGCCGCCGCCGCCGCCGTGGGGCCGAGCCGAGCCACGCGCCGCGCAGGGCCGAGCCGAGCCGAGGCTCTCCACGCACATGTGCCCCGCCAGCCCGCCTGTCCTGTCGACCCGAGCAGCTCCTGCCGAGCGAGCCGAGCCGAGCCTGGCGCCCAGTCCGTCTGAGGTCTGCCCCCGCTGAGAGCCGCTGCCGCCGCCGCTGCCGCACGACGGGACGGTCACAGCACAGCGACGAGGCGCTCTAGCCGGGAGGAGTCGAGACCCTCGCCGCGACCCTCGAGCACACGGCCGCCCTGCCCGCCCCCGCCCCCGCCGCGCCACGCTGCTCCCCGTTCGGACACGGCAGTGAAAGTGCATGGTGAAAGTGATAAGTGTGTGATGTGAACAAGTGAACCATGGCGGACCAGCTGACTGAAGAACAGATTGCCGAGTTCAAGGAGGCCTTCACGCTCTTCGACAAAGATGGCTCGGGCTCCATCACGACCAAGGAGTTGGGCACCGTCATGCGCTCGCTCGGACAGAACCCCACCGAGGCCGAGCTGCAGGACATGATCAACGAGGTGGACGCCGACGGCAGCGGTAAGCAGTGCGGGGTGGGCCGGGACCACCCGGGTCTCGAACCACACGAGCCCCGATGCCACAGTGGGGCGCCGGGAGAAGGGAGGGGGGGGGGCAATTTGATGGGTCGCCGTCCACCGCAAAAGTCCCATCATTGGTGGCATTGCTGCACGCAGACAGCTGCTTGGGGCTGCCTGGGGGCGAGTGGGGGCCGTCCAGTTGGCTGTCGCCAGAGCAGAGCACTTGCCCCTCCCTGTCGCCCTTCAC